ACAGTTGAAGTCCTCCCACCAATTTTGCTTCTAGCTTCAAGAATTAGAACCTATAGTTGTATATTGAAAATTGGTCGGAAAAGCTAAGCGCTTGAGTACATAAACAGGAAACTTGCAACTTCCTGATTACCTTAAGACTCGGCTCCCTTCTGATCAGTTCTCTAGCTGCAGACAAACCAGCAAGACCTGCCCCGACGACGATAACATCGTACCTGGGCGAGTCCGCAGCCAAGTCGTACATAACCTGGAAGGGAGAAGAAATTTTTAAATTCCAGGTGTATAAAATGCAAAGCAAACGTGGCAGGACCTCTTTTCACATTAAAGAGATATAGAAAAAGTACTAAGCTGAAATTTGCAAGTTCCAAGTACAGGCGGATATGCATAAGACCACAAAAAGGAACAGTATGTAGATGTAGGATCACAACGTTTTGAAAAGTATTCAGTCCTTTAAATGACGGATTATTTGAAAACGCCAGAAGAAATGCCTTATCGCCATATCAATTCAGAACATTTGATTACTATCAGAAACAATGCATGGAAGAGATCCTCGGCAGCAGGTCTCCGGAAGGCAAACTAGAATTTGTTCTTATAAAAGCAAAGGTAAATCGTATGGAGTCCGGAGTGGAGCCTGGAGTTCAATCTCAATTATTACTGCTCCCTCAACAACAAGAATATTGAAGCTTCCCTCTCCTTCCTAGTTGGGATGAACATGCATACGGCCTGAGTAATTCTGTCTTATTCAATGCTCAATTCACAGTAACTCCATGCTCTACACGTCCATAAACCTGCTCCAGCAAAGATTGGATGTTTTTCAATATGGGTGTCTCCGCAGGACATAAACGAATTCCAAAAAATACATATAAACTCATTTTTTTCTAGACAAATAGGCAATAAACAGCCACTAAAATTGGCGTAAAGATGCGCAACAAGTGTAAAAGAAGACTTGATCTTTGAAAAATCATGAAAATAAAAGGTCTCAACGTTGGATCTATGGGGGGCCTCAGGTCTCCGCTTACCGAACACTTTTTTTCACCGCTTACCAAACACTTTTTTTTTCATAGTCTTGCTCTCCTTACATTAAACACTTATTGAGCACCCATAGACACAACTTATACGTAATAAGCAAATTCCCTTCCCTCTTTGCTAGAGCTTTAAATCCTTTTACCTTAATGAAGAGAACCCTTTCTCCAATTGCAGTGCGATAACTAGCCCAAAGCACTTCCCCCCTTCCTTACTAGGGCTTTAAATCGTTGTATTCTAACAAGGGAACGTTTTTTACTCGAAGTGGCCATTCAAAACAAGATATATACCATAATAACAAGTTGGGTATGGGAAATCCAAATCTGTTTTCCATATCTGCGAAACGGTTTTCTGGAGGAAGATATGGGCACTAGTTTCCATGAGGCCACCTGTAATAGGGTACTTGTGCAACTAGTTCAGGTGGCAGGGTGGCGCAGTGGTAAGTGTCTTGGTTTGCAAATGTGCGATGCAGGTTCGAATCTTGGGGGTAGCGCAAGTTCTGCATCTTCAGCTATTATCGGTTATTGCTAGAGAAGGCTTTAGTAACTTGTAGTTTTATTGTCCAAAGTCAAACTAAACCAATGATTAGATGTTAATTTGAAATTATTTGCACCATGAACATATGTGATAGTTCTACAAAGAATTAATCATAAAAGCTGCTCACAGTCAGCGCATCGAAGGAGATGTTCTTCGTCGCAATAGTTTGCACTGCA